AATTTATTAACTTTTTTAAATTTAGGCTTCTTCCTAAGCTGTTCCATTTTGAAGAATTGCGATTTAATGGTAGATTTTTTTATCGTTTCTGTTAGATTTCTTCTCAATAATTATATAAATTAGTAAAGATTAAGAATTTGACATATTGTGTAGACACCTATAACTATTTTTGAAAACTGTATGTTGCCCGCTAGATGTCTTTAGTTGTTTTTTTTCGTTTGATTGCTGTCTTATTAACGTATAACCTACATCTCCTACAGTTTTAGTTCCGTTTTGGTGTACTTTCAAATAGGTGTATCATAACTGAAAGGGTTATTGAGTATAATAGATTAATTTCTTTTCTTTCCCTCAATAATATGCTGAGAGAAAGATGAACCGAGAAGAGATGTACCTAAATATAGAAAGTTAAATAAACAGAAAAAAAAGTTTCACTTTCCAATCTTTAACTTCCCAGTCCCCCCATTTTTTTTCCTACTGTATCAGTTTTGCCAAAATTTCTTAATTTCTTACAAGTGGTAAAGGACGTTATATTGCCAGAGCACTACTTTCAATAATAATATGGACCTTGACAAAATCTAGAATGGGCTATTGCAAACCCCATGAAGTCCATCATCTGTTAGTAACTTTTCATGAATAATTATTATTTACCAGATTGAAAACTCGGAACAAAACCTGACCAAATGTTGTAGCAAAAGTAAAATAAAATTCAGCGGGTATTTTAATTTCCCGTTAAGGTCCGAGTTTTTACAACAATATTTTTCATAATTTCTTTTTGAACATTATTTATATATAGAATTTTTTCGTTTCACAAAATCTAGGGTTGAAGGAAATCCATTTAAAAATAAAACAGTGATTGAAGTTTGAATAAGTATGATCGTAGAATCTCAGGTCCGTTCAGGTCTTCTTCTTCTTCTTTAGGTTTTCAGTAGTCCTTCATTGATCTGAAGATTATTTACTGTTTTGCGCAGCGTGGCTTATATATTTCATTTCTTTGTCAGGTCCTAGTTTTGGCATCAAACAATTGTTTTTTATTTAAAACATTTTTTTTTATTCTTATTTGTTCCTGTTTATCTTTTAAATTATACTATTTAAATGACATCTCCGAGAGATTGATATCGGAATTCATCCTGTAAAGGGGCGTTTCCAGGGACGCCATCATTCAAAAGTTCGCCAAATGACGGCGTTTGATTTAGAAATACCTCCGATTTTGAAGAACGTTGTAAACAAGTTCAAGGTAACGTAAAGTCCCTCCCGGTCGTTATATTGGTATATGTGTAACATACTGAATATTGCGATCGGGAACCAGTCTAGTCTTTAATAAGCTTTGGATTTTCAATTTTATTTTGGCCTTGAGAATCACTGAAGAGACATTGAAATATAGTTGACCTATTGCTTATAGTTTCTAAGAAACAGTCTTAACCAAGAAAACTAAACATTGACCAATGAACCATGAACATGAGGTCAAGGTCAGATGAACCATGCCAGGCAGATATGTACAGCTTACAATCCTTCCATACAACAAATCTAGTTGACCAATTGCTTATACAGTAGTTTAAGAAAAACAGACCAAAACACAAAATCTTAACACTTAGCAATGAACTATATGCTAGACATGTACACCTTAAATCATTCCATACACCAAATATAGTACACCTATTGCATACATTATAGGAAATACAGACGAAAACACAAAAACTTAACTATAACAAGCGATCAAATTCAATTTAACGGCAAATTCTGAGAAAATATCCGTTGTATTATTAATAGGAAACCATAAGAAAAAAAAAAGAAAATATGTCTGTCAAAATGGTTTAACTTTAATTTGGTCCTTATATATAAATTGTTCCTATGATATCATTAAGCCGCAAGTAAAATCGTAGACTTAAAAAATGGTACTTCGCAAGATCTGGTTTGTGTTAGCCCAGCTTTAATTAGCGTGGGGCGTTGCCTTCCTGCAGATATCGTTCCAACAGGGGCGGATTTAGGCGGGGACGTAGCGGGCGTGCGCCCCTCCCTAAAATTTGCAAAACATGGGTTATCTTCAACTTATTTAAGTATCAGAAGAGACCATTCCATCTTTTTTAACATTCAAAGTATATAAAACAGTCAGTTTAACAAAATCAACGTGATTACTAATCAACTGACGATTTATTTAAGTTCTATAAATATTGTATACTTCAAAGGAAGGTGTCAAACGCGGAGCTGCGTTTGATGACAAATATAATAGGGTTTTAGCAGTCAAAGTAAAAACAATTGTTAAATTGTATTTGCGGTTTTTATATATTAATTTCTTTGATAATCGAAGTTCCAAAACATCCCTTACTCACTTTCACAATTTCATCACGGCCAAGAAAACAGTCCAGGTGAGATTCTTTCTTAATATCCTTAATGAAAGATAGAAATACTGTTTCAAGCGAAAGGTTAGTTTATTAATTTGTATCTCTGTGACTATATATATTTCTCACTTGCATCCTAAATATTTTGCCGAATTATGTACCGTATTACATACATGGGATCCCCAGAAAATAAACATAACTTCGTAAATGCATCTCATTTTGATTTTAGTGGTTTGTGGCGAACACAGTATATATAAAGTCTGGCACGATCTCCGAAAAAAAAAAAGGTGAAAACAGATATTATGAAAGGACAATTAAAAATCGCTGGAAAGATAAAAAAATTTCGTTTGCAAAATATAATACTAGTATTGGTCAGGTGAGCTATTGTGATCTGTCTCGTCTCACTTTGTGTCCGTCGGTCCGCACGTCTATCTGTCAACTCTTCACATTTCCATCGTCTGATGTTTGGCAGGGCTGGTGTTATGGAGTGTTAAAGTAATTCTTAAGTAAACCGGTTTCATTTCACATTATTGAAACCATGTACAATTGGCTAAGACACATTGACGATGTGCAAAACAAGGGTTAATTTTTTTTTGGTGGTATTCCTGTATTTCTTTATGTCACAAATACCAGCACCATGTCTTTCAAGGTTTAGTTAAGATATTACCTGATATTGCTATATAGATAATTTTACAACAAGTGCTGGTGTCTTGATTGTAGATTGGTTTGCATAGGAACACAGAATCAAAATAAAATGTTCGCATGATCTTCAGCTTCTGTTTATGGGGCTGCAGCTTTATAACTGTAGCTTTATAAACTCATATATGCAATATGAATCCCTTAGTGCGTAAGTTAGGGGTGTTAGGAGGTTGTTGTAGATTTTTCCATTTTGTAGGAGACCTTGCCATCATAACTCGGAGGTTCTTCTCGGAACAGGGACATATTGTTTTACCTCTGTCCGACCATCCGTCAGTCAGTCACTTGATATTTGGTCCGGAGGATCCACTTGGACGCATACAAATCTATTGCGTCATTATTGCATTTTCCCCCTGGAGATATTCGATTGACTAATATGAATGCAACACCAGTGTTCCCAGCAACCATTGACATAACATTCGCTAGATTTTTTTTTAATATGGAGGGTCAGCTTGTGTACTCCGGATTGAGGTCTGTCTCTATCCTTGTTGTCTTCAGTCCCGTTTTCTGGGAAATATATGGGGGTAGTCTCAATGAATAGAAGCTCACAGATTTCTTGTTAATTATGGTGATTGTAGATTGTTGTCAGGGATGGATTTAGGCGGTTGCAGCTTGAAACTTTAATTTCTCGCTAATTTTACCACACAATAGTTCGAGATATCTACATTGCACCCAGAAGAATATTTCAATAATTTAACCTCAAAAAAAATTTCGCCTCGCTCCGCTCGCCGAATATAAAACTTTGCGCCCCCCTAAACAAGAAATCCTAGATCCGCCCCTGTTCCAGTGTACCAGCACTATACAGTCCTGCAACTACGGTAGGCTAGCACAAAGCAGTCAAAATTATACATACATCCTTTGTTTTTTTATTTATTTTATTTTATATTATTTATTTCGCTTTTTCTTGAACATACAAAACATTTAACTAATTATTTTTGCAAAAACTCACATACACAAATTTAGGCATATTTCGGATTACACAAAATATTTGGCAACTAAATTCACATACACAATTTGGCATATCAAAATTATCCGCTCTTTACTTGGTTGCTGGTGTACCAGTACAACGTTGCTGCCGCTCACTGCTGTTTGCTTGGCCTAGCTTTCCTCCTGTTCCTACTTTTGGTGGCTCCGTGTTTATCAATTATTTATTTTTACGTATATATTTTTTTATTTATCTTTGATTTTCTATAAAAAAAAAAGTATTTTTATATTTTTTTTTTTTATTTTTTTTTTATATATTTTTCTTTTATTTCTTTTTATATTCTTTTCTTTTATTTATTTATTAAATTATTCATCAATTTATTGATTCATTTAATTATTCAAATTTTTACTCTATTTTACTTTATATTTAACCTTTTTTGTCATTCTAAATTATATCAATTACCATATGGTAAAAATTAAATTATTAAATGCCCCAAAAGGCACAAGCTAGGGCCGAACGTGCAAGGGCTATATAGCCAGTCAAGGTCGTTAAAAACGTCCATTTGTTGTGAACTTTTTTTTTAAATGTGCACTGAAGAGATGAAAAACACGAAAGGCGACACATAACCTTAATATGTGAAAAAAAAACAAACACGCTATGATCCAAAATAAACTCATTTCAGTAAATTATGTTATATGTGAAACTAAATCTTGTTTTGTATCACATAGTAAATGGATGTAATATTTTACCTGAAAAGTTTAAGATTAAAAAAGAATTTTCAGACAACGTGTTATTCTTGACCGTGAAATAAATGCGTGCTCAGACAAGACTGTATAGGTTTTGCTTAACTCTGTTGACTACATCCTTACGAATCTAGTGGATAGTTGTCTCATAAGAGCTTTCTTACATTTTGACGAAAGGAACGAACGAACGTAAAGGGAGCATGTATTACACATTTCTACGATAATGCTGAGAGTCTGTGTTTTTATCCGGTAAAACAGCATTCTTTTCTGAATTAAACTTGAATCTCTTTAAAAATTTAAGCATATTGCAAATAAAACACGTTTTTGATATCTGAATTAAAGAAAAAAATTCAAATACACTTATGTCCGATACGTTACTATTGTTTACCACGATTACACACATTTGCGCGGGAATTGTTTTCAAAATTAACATTTTAATGAAATTATTCAAGTATGATACTCTAAATTTAACGACAAGATTCACACTTATTTTAAATGAGTATGCCATCATCAAATTGTCAACGCGGATCATCGTGATTTGCAAGACAAGGATTCTGCGATGTTTTGAAGTAGTGTGAACCTGAGACTACTATAACACTGTGTTATAGTAGTCTCAGTGTGAACTAAATCTGTGGAAAAAAGATTTTGCGATGAAGTTTTTTTCTATTAATATTACTCTTATATATCTAAAAAAAAAATGAGACTCTTGCGATCGCAGAAAACAAAAGTGAAACGGAACAAATATTTAGCCCCCCCCTCCCCATTTCAAAGTTAATGGTCGTTGCCTTAGTATTCCGCAGATTTTATTAATAATATTCATTATCTTCAGTTGATCTGAACATTCTTTTACACGTCGTTTATTTGTTTCATCTAATAATTGTGGACCTTTCTTTTGTTTATAGAATTTTGTTTCCTGACGAGCCTATATTTAGGAAATTTTGTAGAGTTATGAATCTCCTTCCCCCTGGTGGTATTTTTATTTTACAAACAATGGTACATTAGTATAGAGATTTTTTTGGGGGGCTTGCAAACACTATTATGAAACACCATCGAAGTTCCATGACGCTTCAATTAAGATTACATAAATATGTCAAAATAAAGGATCCCTTAAAACGAGTCTAACGTATGATTCGTCAAGCGTACGTACCTTTCGTCAAATTGTAAGAAAGCTCTATTTATAATTAGTATTGGCAATCATACCACATCTCATCTTTTTTTAATTTTTTTGAATGTATATTTGTATTTCAATACAATGTATGTGCTTGTACGGAAGCATATTAGTGCCGCATATTTTTTATTATATTTCTTCCTATGTTTGCGTTATTACCTTTGGTCGTTTGAATTGTTTTACATTTGTCATTTCAGAACCTTTTATAGTCGACTATGCGGTATGGGCTTTGCTCATTTTTGTAGGCCATACGGTGACATATAGCTTTTACTTTCTGTGTCAACTGAATGCATGAATGAATATTTTATTTGCAAAAGCATATAGAACATGCTATGCAATACATAATATAAACACAATGTGACAAAAGACTGATAACAGAGAACAATACACTAATAACATTACTAACCAATAATATCAGATCTAGCTTTCCATGCATTCTTCAAATAGTTACAGAGCTTAATTGTTAGCGATCTAGAATTAGCTTTCAACAAACAAGATAGATTAAAAATATTAGGCCATGAACAATAATAGTGTGGCAGAAAAAAATATTCTAATTGCCCTATATGCTGGACATACCAATACAAAATGAAATGCATTCTCAACACATTGCATATTACAACATACATAGACGCATTTCTCTTGGTATATCAGAGAAGCGACCAACTTCAACATTAAGTTTCAATGTACCATTTCGTAGTTTTTTAAGAATGTTAATATTATTGTTGTAGCTAAAATAATTCTCAAGACAAAATTGGTCTCTTGTGAAAAGTTTTCTCATTGGCAATCATACCACATATTCTTTTTTATAAAAAATCAAAGTACTGAAGTACTAAACATCGGATGACCGCAAGTTCTCGTGGATGGTCACAAGCACAAAAGTCTTGTCTCAGAAAAAAGTGAGGTTAAGGTACATATATATAGAGACAAGTTTGTGCGTGGATGATGAATAAATGACAGGGTATTCAACCTCACCGTAATAATTATTATATTGAAGGGATACAAATTAGTGTTGTTTTATATTATATTAATATTTGTATATATAATTTTTTATCCATTTGTTTATCATTCTTTTTTACTATTCTAATAATAGTGTAGTGCAAGTGCATGGTGGACACTCTTCTGTATTAATTGGATTTTTCTAAAAGATTGGACTTGAGTTGGCATTCATATTTTCCCGCAAAGTTTCTTGAAATATTCTTCCGCATGCGTTAACACAAATTTTCGGTATTCTTGATTTGTTATTGATATATATATATATACAGTGTTCCAGCTTAAATCTCAGGGCAGAAGGGTGCTAGTTGTCTGAAAGGGCACTTTAGCGTTATAACTCAGATTTTAAGGACACTGTTGGACAGTGTATAAATTACCTTGAATATTGCTAGGCTCATGCAGCTGGAGAACATAAGTTGTATTTAAACCATATTCAGAAATTATGTGTTAATGTGTTCTTGATGTTGGTTCCAGTAAGAATTTTTTTTTATCAAATTATCATACCATGAAGCAAAGCATATCATTTCGATGTTAATCTAAACAAACTTGTACATTTGGTAAGGAAAAAATAATCATCAGAAATTTCAATGTTTTATAACTTATACCAGTCTATAAAAATAAACAAGTAGTTTTGAAAGATGGAGTTATACATGCAAAATTGATTGTTTAATGTAATTAACTTATCTACATTTAAATTACTTGTTCAAACATATAGTATATATGTTATTGAGAGTTATTTATGATCATTTGAATTGTTACATAAAAGTATTTTTAAGTGCACACCAAAGTGCTCCTCAGTAAGGAGTTTTATAAATATAACAGGCGAGACTGTAGATGATCATTTTACATTGATGCAATAATATATTGCAGAAGGTATAAACAGTTACTTTCTTCTCCATCATTGTTAAAAATAAATTTGTTGAGTGCTCCTGTGTCAGGAGGATTATAAAATACAAGAAGTAAAACAGGAAGTAAATCTTGTTATGTTCAAAGTACAAATTTCTTTGATTCTTCTTTAAATTTCATACTCATAGTTGTGAAACAAAACCAATTAAGTCAAAACTGTATGTATGCCTTTAAAATTGTTTAAGATTTTATTTTTTATGTTATGCCTACTGAAATAAATTTTTTCAAGTGTACATGCTGTACATAAACATTACAAATGGATAACATGTGGACATTTCATTCTGTATTAAATATCTAGTATTTGTTCAATTATCTTAAATCCACTAATTAGCAGTAAACAATCATTAACAAAGGTGATAAAACTGCCAAAGCATTAGGTATTTAACTTAATCCCATTGTCAGTTAATTAGTGTTACACAATTCAGGTAACAATTTTACCGGAAACGTCGGTAGGCATGAAATTTGGAAATTTTATTTTTTTGAAAAGGCAGAGGGGTGCATTCTTTTACTTTGGAGGGCAGAAGGGCGGGGGTAAGGGCACCAAGGGCGGGCCGCCCTTCTATTTAGGGCAGGCGGGAACACTGATATATATATATATATATATATATATTTCTCACGACAGAACATTTTCATATCATTTATCTATGTTCCAAAAAAATATTTTCATGAATATTTATTGATGAAATTGATATATAATAAGCAATAAGGAATGTTATTTTGCGTTCGGTTATCAGTCAAAAAAGAAAGTCACGTGGGTGGAAATGACTGTAGCAACAATACACCGGAATGTCCTCACGGTCATCCGATGTAAAAATCAATTATGTGGCGCTAATACGCTTCCGTATTTAATCCTGTTTTACTTAAGAGGCAAAATAATTAGACAAATAGCAAGTCTGGATTCGCCTGCCTGGTGATGCATACAAAGCAGAAGGCGTTTGTTTATCATCTGGCCTAGATCCGTTTTAAGATAATAAGTAACCATAATAAAAAAAGGGAGATGTGGTATGATTGCCAATGAGACAACTATCCACAACAGTTAAAATGAAGTGGATGTAAGTATTTAGAGACCATCGAACGGCCTTCAACAATGAAAAAACTCATACCGTATAGTTTGCTATAAAAGGCAATTAGTGTGTTTTCTCATTTTAAGTATCTTCTTAAATTGTTTTTAATATAAAGGCATAGTCAATTCATAGCCCTAAACACGCATGCCTTGTAAAGGAGAAGCGAAGAATACCAAAAGAGACATCAAAACTCATAAGTGGAAAATAAACCAACAAAGCCATGGCAAAAAAAGACAAAGACAAACAACAGCTATAATATAAAAAAACACGACATAGAAAACTTAACACTGAGCAACACAAACCCTACCAAAAAAAAACCAGGGGTGATCTCAGGTACCCCGGAAGGGTTAGTAGATCATGCTACAATGTGGCACCAGTCGTATTGCTCATGTAAGTACACAACCGGTGATAAGTCTAGATCGGTAGGTCACATTCGGGGAACAGGAGAACGGGCCTGTGGTTACGACGACTAGAAATATATCAGCTGATGGAATTTGCTACCTAGAAATGGAAAGTCCACAATTGGGAGCCTGAAATCATCTCTTTTGTCGTAAAGTATTGTTGCCAACCCACCCGCAATTTTAATCTCTAAATGTAAGTCAAGATATAAGGCAGACTTAACTGTATCTGTAGGGGTGAGCAGCTGAGACATCAAGTACCCCACCCTTTTCATATATTTTCTTTATCAAAAATATATACCTGGTCATATATCAAGTAACAAAAACAGACCTCTGGTACATTAGTTTAGAGATATTTTTTTGGGGGGAGGGGGGGCTTGCAATGCATTGCTTTTTTCAATAAATTCTGAAATACTTTCCTCTATTTGTCCCTTTTATATATCTTTCATTGTGGAGAAATTTCAACAGACAATATTTATAGCATCTATAACTAGCATCAGTGGAAATACTACATTGGAATAAATAGAGATTAATTGGTTGGACAAATAGCTGATACATTTACGATTGTGCTTTAACCGCATCAAAAATAAATACTGACACCTGATAGTTTCAGATACTTATGATTTAACCAAGCAAGTGATAACATCAACCTAGTGGTATATTTAAATTGAATTTCTCACCCTTTTCATACATCATGGAGCATGAAATAGTGACCTATTCCAGCGACTCATCCCTACCACTCATTACATAGGAAGTGCCCCACCCCCCCCCCCCCCCCCACCCCCACCCCCACCTCTCGAGTATATTATAATCTAACTCGAAGTCAACATCCGGATGTAGTGATACTGCGAACTGCTAGCACTTTTGTCAGCTCAAACCTAACAATTATCTCTAAGACTTCATGTCTAACACAAAAAAGACACTGCCGTGTGTTTAGACATTGGAGGCATTGAAATGATGCAACACAACTAATTTAAACCAGAAATCGCTGTTTGATTTGTGCTGTTTATGCATAATTCTAGAACGGTAAAAGTGACGCCACCCAAATTCACACTTGATTATTGATTGGTGGTAATAAACATTGCGTTTAAGTTTCATAACATTTGGCTGAGGCAAACTTAAGTTAGAGAATGGTAACCAATTCTGGGGCGTACGGACGTACAGACGGACAAGGGTGAAAATTCATACCTCTTTGCTACGGAAATAGTCAGATTTCTTTTGTTGAAATCTTTTTTTAAAATAATTTTCGATTTTTGTTCTAATACTAAATTAAATTAAGGGATTTGTCCATATGCATACATTTTATGTATACCCTTTCTCGCTTTTTTTTTCACTCTAGTAAAGGTGCAGCGTAATCGAGAGCGTAATGATTGGCATGAATACTAAACAGATGAGGCTGTTACGATAACAAAAATACAAGAAGTCATTCAACCTTAGGTCACCGAAATACAAGGAAAGCTACGTCAGAGTACTTTATCTGTACATGCGTATATGAATCAGGAAAAAGTTTGTGATCGAGTCTTGTTCTTGTCTAACTTGGAAATTAATTAAACATATATATTTTTTTCGTTTACAAAAGGTAATGTATTTGTTTATATATATAATTTTTATATACAAGTAAATTGTAAATTATATATATGTAAACAAGATTTAAGTAGCAACATACAACGACATAAAGTAATCAGATGCTAAATGTATATAACAACGAGCTGCATCAATTATTTGACGATACTATTTATCATATTAAAGCTAAAACAGTCAGGTTACAGAATTATCTATTATAAACTAATTTTTCATGTTTTGATTTGGTCTTAAATATTTTCATTTTTTACAGAAATTTTGACAGTTTTTACATATAATCATAGAAATAAAGTGTGAACTGATTATCTTAACTACAATACTGGATTCGGTCGAATCGTCATGTTTGAAAACACGCAGAAAGACAAGCAAATTCAAAACTCAATGAAAAAAGTGTGCTCATATCTACTTTAAGAACTCTTTTCACTCAGAGGCGGATTTAAGGGAGAGGGCATCACCTCCACCTTCTTGAGATGCTTCATATACTGTTGCATCATCCACACTTTTTACCTATTCAACTCCAAACTTTTTCTATGTAGGGGCAACGCCCCTCTTTCAAATCCTGGATCTGCATCTCTTACTATACGTTACGGGTTTAATTATCTATTTGGTAACATATTAAAACTTTCAAAAATATATAATTTGTTTACTGGTAAAACACTAACTGGCAAACGATGCAGATTCATGGTTAAAGGGTCATCCAAATGATAAAGTGAATGGAGACGAACAATCGTATCTAAATATTCAAGATACATTCTTCCAACTGATTACTTAGAATCAGTAAATACAACAAAAACTTGCATATTCATATATTATTTTCTTTTGTGTGAAAATGCAGTATTTCGGAATATCTTGTTTCTCTTTTTGTTATATTTTTCTATGAATTTAAAGCATTACATATGATGACATGTAAAACCTTGAAAAAATAGAACGACAAACGATCTGTGAGAGAAAAAAAAAACATTCCTTCACTTCTTTCATCCGTGGCTAACCATATTCGAACTAGTCGCATCGATTTGGTGTAACGATAAATTCTGATGTATAATGAGAATATAGCACTGCCAAAACTTTTTAAACTGAAAAACGCAACAATCAGTGTAGAGGTCCTCATTGTTCCTTTTGATGGCATGTTGGAGGGTATTTTTTCTACTGCAGTCTAACATACTCGCCTTAACCAATGACAAATGAAATACTTGTAGAACCCAATGTGCCGTCAATAATTTGCTTTCAAATTTGCATGTACATGAAATATTTCCCACTGGACGTAGAACAAACAACAATAAATTACCAATCACTTTAATTTATTAACTAATTAGGATAAGAAAATTAATGTATACTCTAGTCTTTCATAATAAGGCTGCTTGATATACACATTTTTTTTTGGTACCTTTAATTCGGAAAAGAAAATCATAAAAAGTTCTCCTATGTACAATTTGTTTTTCTTCTTATCCGAATTCGGATAACGCAAAGACGACTTAATATTGAATATAGATATACTTATCCGAATTTGGATAAGGATCGTCACATTGTATACTTAACTCTGTGCGGTAGGTCATGCATTCTTCTTATCCGAATTTGGATAAGAACAGTTATTATTCCTTGATAATGTGTACTATGTATTCTATACAAATTCGGATAACATTAGTTTCTCTCCTTATGTCTAAACGATGATAATTCAATTATTTATTCCTCTTGTCCAAACTAAGATAATTAAATAACTACTGCAATTTTAACAAATAATGTTGTATAAAAAAAAAGAAATAGGTCTAAATACATTATTGTATTGAGTTCATCTTAAAAAAAAAAGTGTTGCCTTCCAACATTCTTATTTCAGAAATCTCGCTTATCCGAAACACCCATTGACTTGAGCATATGGAAATGCTCAAAAGCAATTGGAAGCTGTTACCAGGTATCTGATTCAGTTCCGTGGAGAACCACTTAAAATTGTCTTGTGGACACAATATCGTCAATCGAACCATAAGAATCGGAGAACACTGTTGGACAAACCACGGTTTATAGTATGTTTATAATTGTGTAACTTTTGAAATATCGTTTTCATCTTTTGATAATTTGCATTGGTAGCTGATCTATAATTTTTAATTTGCATTGTTAACTTATAGTCAGCTCGTACATGTATTCACTATGTGTTCGAAGATTTCATATGGATGTTACTGTTCACATTGGAATTCGGTAGGATCCAGAATCCTTCTAGAACAAATTGGAATTCCTCAACCTTATAGTAGAATTTAACATTCTAAATTGTATGAATTAAATTCCACTATTAATCTACTAGTATCTAGATTTGTTATTACATGTTCATAAACGATCAAACTCTTTTTCTGTACATTGAATGTGAGGTTCTGGATGGGGTGGGGGTTCTTCATTTCTGTATTCTTTTTTTAAGGCCATTTTTCTCTATTTTTTATATGTTTTGCCCATTATTCTCTATTCTTTATATTTTAGCACCTCATTATTTTTTATTCTTTATTTTTTTTTTTTTTTTTTGGTCAATTTTTCTCTATTCTTTATTTTTTTGCCCATTATTTTCTATTCTGTAAACCCCAAATCCAGACCCTCGCGAATGCCATTCATGGTCATAGTCCTTCTTTAAAAACTTTTTCTAAGGTACTCGGTGCTCTGTTTTTCGGCTTTACAAATAATTGATTATTGGTCGCATGATTAATCGATCGAAAAGGACAATAAAATACGATGATTAAAAATAATTCTTTAACAGCCCACTCTGCCCTCTTGGACGAAGAAAGATTCAGAAGTACAATTTTTTTTCCCAGAATTTGCATGCACTGATTATTGTTTCATTTATGTTAAAATATGCGTTCGTGAAAGTGGAGAAACCCTGAAAACTTGCTAACCTACGGCCTCATGTATATATGTTATCCTATTCCAAAGGGGAAACTTGTTATCATATAAATACGGCATTTTTTGGATCAACTCTTGACGAACCTTGTATCTGGGTCACAACTGTTAAGTTCAACTTCTGTACAAGAAATGTAGAAATTACTTGAAAATATTAATTCTTTATATTTTTAACTTTCTTTCTTTCTTGTTTGTTTGTACTATATTTCCTTCTTCGGTTTTAAAAAAGAATCTCTTACAGTTGTATGTTTGTTCAGTTGATATGATACGTAATTTTCTGTTTTTGCATGTGCCTTTGGACTTCCCATCGAATTTATAAATTAACCTTGAAATTTAGAACACTTTTGATTTCTTATTCTTACTGGTTCACTCCAACAAATCATTCAAATAAAACCAGGGTATTTAGTTAATAGATGTTTTATTCGAAAACGTTGTATGCATACCATATGGAAAATATGTTTTAATAGTTTGTTGGGCGGCTAAACGTCCAACAACAAACATAACACTTATATCGAGAACGATTATATTTAAACATAATTTATATTTGGTTTTTGTATACTCATATGGTCAATTACTTGCTTAAGAATCACGTGTCAAAAATTGATTGATTGATTGAATTTTACATAACGTCTAGTGGTCGTCGGAATATTAAACATTTCAGGGAAAATGTTGATGAATTTTTTTTTGGAAGTGGGATTGCGATATTTTTTTTTAACCAGTTTTCCCGTGTCTTATGCATGATAGCATGGTTAGGTAGACGTGGTATTCAAGTAATTCGCCATTTCAAAATCTAATGCATTCTGGGCAATATTTTCAAAAGCGTACACCAAAACATTGTGATTGGTTTAAAAACATACTAAACAATGAAAATCAACCAATGCCGCCGGGCGTAACGTTATTTTTTTTTTGTACGAACAATGAGATTGCGCATAGTCCATTAGAATCTGCCGAAAAGGCAAACTGACGTTGTCCTCATTTGCCGTTTTTAAACTGGCAATGGTGCACATATAGACAAGATAAATGAACTGTCGTTCTATTCCAAATAATGGCATTTTATATAATTAGTTACCGTTTAGCTCACCTATCCAAGTGTCTATTAGAATAGAAGATGATATTTCTTCTGATAATTTTATAATTCCAAAACCAAATACATAGTTGTACAAGTCTAGTTTCTCTTACAGTGGACCAAAAGTTTGGAATTCTCTTCCTAATGCAACTAAAAAATCAAACACAGTATTCGAATTGATACATATCTACAAATCTATGCACTTCGATGCCATAGAATAATTGCTTATCGAATTTGAATCGTATTGCATATTTATTTACCATTATTATTGAATTTATATTGTTTATTTTTTTAATGAAGTTATTATTGTATTAGGAGAGCCTTATTGAAAATTGGTGCAATCCAAGTGAGTTACTCTCTCTAAATAAAGATGTTAATATTATTATTATTTTTCATGCTTCCATGATGCGTTCATTTAAGTTATATCTTTATTTATTTATTTGTACCATAAGCATCAGGCATATAGGCCTGTATCATGTAAGCAGTAATAAGGCACCTAACTGCTTTTTGTAATATTATACAGGAATAAGAATGATTTTTGAACTTCAGTATAGTTGAATACCCTCCCCCAATATTGGAAACAAACTATTTTGAATTACTATCTGAAACAACTTATATTTTTATCAAGAAATTAACATTCAAACAATTTATCTTTTGAAAAAAATGATTCAGTGAATCAAATGGTTGTTTTTGAAAAAAGTGTACTTGTTTCTGTTGTATTTCCTTCTTCAAGTGTTAGTACGTTGCATACGTATTCCTTTTAGTTCGTTGGTGTTTAGGTGAAGTCCCATAACTTTTTATCCAATTAAAAATAGTGTTCTATTTCCCGTAAGCCAATCACAATAAATATTATATTCGCAATTTGAAACGAACTTGTTTACATCATGGCTGCCTAAAACAGTTTTTGAAAAAGATTTATATTGTAATCTCCTTTTCTTCATATATCTTCATGTGCAGTACTTTGAAAAGTTATCGAATACTACATTTAGTGTTAAAATCATTCAGCATAGTAATTTTTTGAAAGGTATCAAATTTAAACATCGCTTACACGGGGAAAAATATTTGGTTCATGTCTTGACTTGCAGTCCGAAATTTTTTATATGAGTTACTAAGTGTATTAAGATAGAAAAGTTTACATTTATGCTACCGCTCTAGATATTTTACCCAGAAATAATTTTAACATGATACGTATTTGCCATCTTCGTATACATGTTTATCTTGTCATGCTTGTGACATTATCATGATTATGGTCACAATTTTTTTATGAGTCTATAGTGATTTTCTGATTTGGCCACCCACAGAACAGAGATGCAGATAAACTTTTTTCCTGTCAGACATTGGGTTTTGCATGTAAGACAGTTTTGCCAGACCTACTTTTTTTTTTAAATGATAAATAGTTCCCAGTTCAGCAGAATTTGGATTAAGATACATCTTAAAATCTTGACTAGAACGACCATGTTAGGTATACATGTATGACCATGGGGTGATTTGATGACTGAGACCACATTCAATATGATTATCCAGAGATATTGTTTGCCTCAAATTACCTCAGAAATTCGGCTTTTTCCCCTAGAGAAAGGGGCATAAGAACAATTAGATCTGGCAAGCTACATCAGGCTACATTTATGTCAAAACGTATATGTGTGTACAAACATTAACTCAAATGAAAAAAATAGTCTTTGAAAACTAAAATAATACTTGTTTTTGTTTAATTTTATTTGCATAATTCTGGTCATTAGTCGTCCCTTATAACATGTGGAAGCAAGTTAACTCGTACCATTGTAAACTCGTACCACGTAAACTCGTACCAAAAAAGTTAACTCGTACCAACGTAGACTCGTACCACTGGGAAGTTGTACCAATCAGAACTCGTACCACTGCAAACTCGTACCATTAAAAATATATTCAAAAATACGAATGTTTTATGATTTTTTTTTTTGGTAAACTAAATAAAAAAAGTTGAATTACTTGAATTTTTTACTAGATTTTAATGAAAACTAAGACAAAAATACGAATGTTTTATGATTATTTTTTTTAAGCTTTATACAAAAAATTAAAATATCTTTGAATTTTATACCAGATTTTAATGAAAACTTAGACAAAAATACGAATGTAATTTCTTAAGTACCATGCTAATAAATATATTAAATTCCTTTGATTGTGTGATTATTGGTTGATTATTAACTAATCAACTTGTTCAGAGACATATGTCTCTGACTTGTTTAATCATATTAGCATGGTCATATTCTGCTTAAATGTGCTGAATATTGTATAAAAATAAATTTCATACTTTCTAACTGTTGGTCATAAACAATTTTAAACCTTTAAAACACAATAAATAAATTCTCATTAAATAAAATTACTTTTAGAAACAATAGAAAAATACCCAAATCTATTCAATGTTACTGATTTGGAATGATTAAAAATTAAATCAAATAGTCAGTAAAAGTTTAAAAAAGAGTCTATTCAAGGGAGACAACAAAGCCAATCTGCCACGGTTTTCTCTATCCAATTAGACAAGGAAAATTAGTTACAAACTGGTCATTGTAATTTCAAATTATATACATTTTACAGACTTAAGAGGTATTGAGTGAAATTAAAGTATAAATTCATCATTAAACACCATTTGAATGCATTTAAAGAAGTTGGTACGAGTTTACAATGGTATGAATTTACCGTGGTACGAGTTAGCAGTGGTACGAGTTTGCATTGGTACGAGTTTTTTTTTAGTGGTACGAGTTGACATTGGTACGAGTTTACAATGGTACGAGATAACTATAATTCTAACATGTACATGTATTAGAACTTTGGTTTTCAATGCTTTTTAACTACAAAATTGATTTGGCCTTCCATTGTTCCAACTTTTAATCCATGCATCACTGATTAGTCATATGGAGACAAAACCCGTGTTTGTTGTACTTACAATGTTCTGGTTAAGGTACATATACTTGGCCTGGACGCATGGTTTTCTGTCTGGATGCTTCATTGCATGAACCTGTGCGTCCAAGGGACGCGTTCTGATAACATTAGCTGAGTCTTGTTATCATCAGAATTATCCCTCAGCTATCAAAAAGAAACTGAAAACATGCTTCTATTCAATATTTTTACCAGAAATTTTCTTTCGTTTTTATTCATTGCTATGTCAGTCAGGGGACTTACTAAAATGAGTGATTTTTAAATCACTGATTCAAGTAACATTGTGTCCACAAATGTTGGAATTAAGAGTTGTCTTTCTTTAATAATCACCTATTTAGTAGTACAAGAAAATCACTAGACTAAGTGATTTAATTTTATTGTAGCTTTAAATATACAATACTAATGATACAGGGACTAATTATGTTGCTAAAATTATCAGAACCAACATCTGTGTTGATAGGATGACTGATCATGTCAGGTGATGACCTTGTACTGAATCTGGGATAATGATATTAAAATCACTTGTTTAAGTATCATACCTCTATTTTCTTCCAAAAAATCACTTCTTTAAGTATTATTATTTTAACTACCCCCACTAATTTCAACACCACCGAACAGTGAAATTTTGATCGCAAACAGTAAAATTTTATTACACAATCTAAGATGAAACCTTTAATTTTACAGGAAAATTACTCTCACTGCTGGGAAAAATCTGTTAAGAAATTATCAATTCATTATGTAAAGCCTTCATTATAGCATTTTTTCAACAAATATCGAATTTACAGCTAAATGATTGCATCAAAGGCATAAACCTTGCTATTTAAAAGAAGAAAAAGGTTCATTATTTCCAATTTTACTGATAATAAGATATAATCTCAACCTATATGTTCAAAAATTTTGGTAAAACTACAAAATCACAATTTGTGACAAAATTTTGAATTTGCTACTTAAATAAGTAATTCTATAAATCACTTATTTCAGTAATTCCCCTGACTGACATGACTGATGTGTAATGATAAATCCAGAGAAATACAAAAAATAATTATGATCACATGACTTACGCCAGTTGGTTACAATACACCCCCACCTGTACCCATGAATTTGATTATTATTAGGCAGATCAGAATCATTGAAGATATGCACAAAATTGAAACTTGGCAAAAAGGTTGAATTGCAAATATTATAGGGCCGCCAAAAGCAACTACTTTACTTTCTCTATCAGCCATTTGTGATGTTATTGATATCAGGCACATTTGTAAAAGCTTTATTAAACCCTAAAATTTGTATCGAGGTCTGTTACTTGAAAAACGAATGTTTTCTTGCACTTGTTGGAAATTACAAGTTAATCAATGTTAATACTGATAGTTATTAATTTCTGTGTCATTTGGTCTCTGAGGGTTGTTTCATTGACAATCATACCACATCTTCTTATTTTATTAAGTTTAAAGTTATTGTAATAAATTCAAATTGTTAATCTTTTTTGGACGCATTTACTTATAATGAGTCTGATTTTAAGACAAGTGATTATTCTTAAACTTAACGCATTTTAATTGCAATAAAATGCAATGGTAATATTGATTTAGCTTTAATACTCTTCCTAAAAAGGCCTATGTATTCTAAATAGAGAATACAATTGGTATGAAAAATCCATATAGACTACTGAAAAAGGTCGGAAAGAACCAGGACCTTCGGTAGGAAAACTGACAATCCTAGTCAATTAAGATTGGAGTCGAGTGCACCTGCCCCGTGCGGGATTCGAACTCACAACACCTCAGTGTTGACTGGCTAGTGATACAGTAGTTCGATTACTTAGATCACTGGGCCACCGAGGCCCCCTACTGTGATATTACACAAAACTTGTAGTTTCTCTATTATGTCTTATGTTTTATATTGATTATATTGATATGATTGGTGTCTAAGGTTCAGTAAACATGGTATAAATGTAAAAATAATCATCATAAAAATTGGAAATTTGGAAATTTTACATCTGTTTTGTACATGATTTCCATAAACCTGTCTGTTTAATAATGTTAAAGGTAAGAGAACTTTCATCAGACTGTTTGGTTTTCTGGTTTGAATTGTTTCATGCCATGCCTTTTGTAGCTTACTATGCAATTTAATTTATCATTTTTTAACATGAACGTTTAAGTGCCAATTAATTTTTCAGAAGTGATAGATTTAGATAAATCCAGCCAGCCATGTCTACCTTAGATTTAAGTGAACCAGAATTGCCACCCGATTCACCTGGAAGTTCGGTTTCCACCAGACTTATGGTAAATTATATAAACAGTACTACCTGTTTCTCTTAATTTTAAAGGAATGTCAAATATATATGATCAAGATGATATTGTATTTTTTTATATATATATATATATATGTTCTAAAGACTGGATGAATAGTGCAAATCTTAAAAATACATTTGTATTTTATTTAAATCTTGTACATGTACTTCTTACGTAATTTATTTTCTTTCACTTTAAAATTTTTTTATGTGTAACATTATTGAGGTCGAACTGTTGACAAAGTTGATATTATCATGTAAATTAAAAAAAAACTTGGCAAATATTGTACATTTAAAATGCATGCAGGGGAAGTTTCAGTTAAAAAAAAAATGTCTTTGGGGATATATCAGATTAAATGTTGGTTATTGTGAATGATTCACACTAAAATTGTAAATAGTGAAAGTGTTGTCACCAAACATACCAGCAGTCTCCCATGAGCATCACGACAGCTGCCACATGTGGAGCAGGACCTGCTTACCATTCCAGAGCACCTTAGATCACCCCCAGTTTTTGTCGAGCCTGCGACTTTTGTCGCAGAAAGCTCGACATAGGGATAGTGATCCGGCGGCTAACTTCTTAAAAGCTTTATATTTTAGAAGGTGGAAGGTCTGGATGCTTCATACTTTGTATATGGATGCCTCATGTTACGAAGTTTCCGTCAGTCACATGTCCAATGTCCTTGACCTCATTTTCATGGTTCAGTGACTACTTGAAAAAAAAGTTAAGATTTTTTGTAATGTTAAATTCTCTCTTATTATAAGTTATAGGATAACTATATTTTGTATGTGCGTACCTTGCAAGGTCCTTATGCCCGTCAAACAGTTTTCACTTGACCTCGACCTCATTTCATGGATCAGTGAACAAGGTTAAGTTTTGGTGGTCAAGTCCATATCTCAGATACTATAAGCAATAGGTCTAGTATATTCGGTGTATGGAAGGACTGTAAGGTGTACATGTCCAACTGGCAGGTGTCATCTGACCTTGACCTCATTTTCATGGTTCAGTGGTTATAGTTAAGTTTTTGTGTTTTGGTCTGTTTTTCTTATACTGTATGCAATAGGTCTACTATATTTGGTGTATGGAATGATTGTATGGTGTACATGTCTAGCGGGCAGGTGTCATCTGACCTTGACCTCATTTTCATGGTTCAGTGGTCAAAGTTAAGTTTTTGAGTTTTGGTCTTTTTTTCTAATACTATATGCAATAGTTCAACTATATTTGGTGTATGGAAATATTTTATGATCTATTTGTCAGTCACGCAGGTTTTATTTGACCTTGACCTCATTTTCAAGGTTCATTGCTCAGTGTTAAGTTTTTGTGTTTTGGTCTGTTTTTCTTAAACTATAAGCAATAGGTCAACTATATTTGTTGTATGGAAGAATTGTTAGCTGTACATGCCTGCCTAGCATGGTTCATCTGACCTTGACCTCATTTTCATGGTTCATTGGTCAATGTTTAGTTTACTTGGTTAATGTTAAGTGTATGTGACAGCTGTAATAAAGCTTTATATTTAGGACTATCAACATAATATCAATGATTAGTAAAGAAGGCGAGACATTTCAGCGTGTGCACTCTTGTTGGTTTGGTTTGTGATGCTCAGTCTTTAGTTTTCTATGTTGTGTTTTGTGTACTTTTGTTTGTCTTTTTCTTTTTTAGCCATGGTGTTGTCAGTTTATTTTCAACCTATGAGTTTGAATGTCCCTTTGGTATTTTTTGCCTCTCTTTCATATTGATTCACTTAACATTGGAAAGAGTGATTATTTACCTGAATCACAGTGTTTGTTATTAGAATTCAAAGTGTTGATTTATTTACAGGATGAGTATGAGGAATTGCTAAAGTATGCTGTTGTTGTACCAAAGTGTTGATTTATTTACAGGATGAGTATGAGGAATTGCTAAAGTTTGCTGTTTTTGTACCAAAGTGTTGATTTATTACAGGATGAGTATGAGGAATTGCTAAAGTATGCTGTTGTTGTACCAAAGTGTTGATTTATTTACAGGATGAGTATGAGGAATTGCTGAAGTATGCTGTTGTTGTACCAAAGTATGATCAGAGCCGATTACCTAAAACACTAACGGACATAAGAGAGTCTTTCCCTCAAAATAGACCTGAACCCAGACAGGAATCCATAGTAACAGTTACTAGGGAGAGACAAACAGGTAGCAAAAGTAAAAGTTTAATAACATATACATCCGTATTTGTGTATATACAGTTTCAACTTGAACTTTCATATAGATGTCCTTGTTTGTGCTGGTCCAGTGTGGTCAGAGGAACATAAGCTAGGGCAAAGTTTAAGCATATTATTATTTAACTGTGTAAGATATAATATTTTAATGTTTAAATTCATATATAACGTCAAATAATAAATAATTTTTCTAAATCACAACAAGAGCATTAAACATGAAGACAATTATAACAGCTATTATACATTTATGTAAATTATCATGATTCAATGTCCGTTTAGGTGCTTACACTATATATAGTGTAAGCACCTAAATGTACATATTAAAGTCTTAATTTTCCCCTTGTAAAAACATGAATAAGTAAAGTCATGTTAAGTTATGTTTTAATTAAACAAACATGACATATATATGTAAAATGCTCCAGCTATTTTAAGTACATATTGACACAAAAGACACTGCATGGCAGAATCTTGTACATGTTCAGTAACACAATAAATACAAGATACTTTATAATAGAATATACATGAAAAACAAAATTCGACACTGTTTTGAAAACAAAACAAAAAAAAACTTTTAAATATAAAACATGCGCTGGTGTGGTCACTTCCCAGTCCTTGATAACTTTAAACCAGTGTAATTAGGTTATATATATACTGACCATTGAACCAAATAACAAAAATTGTTACACAACCTTTTTAAACTCCCCATAATAAAATCAATGCACAATCTTTCAAACTCATTCTGCATGGTGCTCATAATTCATTTACACAATTATGAACATTCCTTCATGGTAGATGGGGAAACCATGTGACCATTATTGCAATTATCTGTAATCTAAGTTTTTACACATAATTATTATGCATAAATGTAAAATAATTTTCTCTAATTTAATTACTGTCATATTTTGTTCATTACTGATATATTCATGTGTTACAGATTCTAGTTCCAATCCTATCGTTGTCAAGGTAACCAGAGAAACAGGATTACCAGATTTTGGAGGTCAGAGTCCTATAGGAAGTAAACACGAGGATGACAGACTGAATGATGATACAGGGAGTGTTGAAGAATTCCTTACCAGAGACAAAGGTAACTATTGGTTATCTAGGAAACCATGTTAGAGACATAGGTAACTATTGGTTATCTAGGAAACCATGTTAGAGACAAAGGTAACTATTGGTTGTCTAGGGAACTCCTCCAGAGACAAATATAACTATTGGTTATTTAGAGAACCACATCAGAGATTAGTATTAATGCTGATGGATCTTAAAAGTTACAAATAAGAATATACCAAGACATGCCAGACTAGGTACAGCACTGTTAGAAGTACAGGTACAGTGTTAAAGTTTGCAAATATTTGTTGTTGCCACAGGCCATACGCTTATTTTTTTAAAAATTTTGTATAGTTTCTATTAGCCCGTAGAAGACATTCTTTCAGGTCCGATAAAAATTTTGCAAGCCGGAGCTCGTGGGCCTTTTGCCAACTGTGAATATTGCAGATTATATTTTTGGACAACATATTTCAATATTTACCAATCCTGTTAATAAAAATATTAGTAAATGGAATGTAGAAAAGGCAACCATTCAGAATTTTTCATATTGATTAGGAATGGCCTTGTACAAAAATTACTACTCTGAAGAGTACAAAATTAATGAAAATAAAAGTATTAATTTGTCTTTTCTGCAATGAAGGTTCGAGAGACAAAGGCTTACTTTTCAGGTGTTGGTTGTGTCAACAACTGTTAATGTTAAGACACAGGCTAACAGATGAGACAGTTCTCTGTGTTAAAAGATTGAACAGGGTAGCATTCGAGAATTAAAGTTATCTTTATTATTGAAGTGACGTTCTATATTATGATGCTGTTGCTAGAGACAATATATCTTTGTTGATTGTTGGAGAAGACCAGATGTGGTTATGGCAAATTATTGAGGAACTATTGGATCATTATAAAATGTGAAAAGAACAAAGAACAAACAAAAACAAATTAAAAGCAAACAAAAGAAATAAATACATAGTATTTATTCAATCGTTTATTCTGTTATCTCGTTTCGATTTCATAGGCTAAATATGTGATAAAAATATCATTACATGGCATTTTCCGTATCAGCCCTATCATAAGCCCTCGGTCTGATATGGGAGTCTTGGGCTAATGAATATGGCTAATATGGAAAATGTCATGTAATAATCTATAAATAGTGTTTTAATTTTTTCTTGATTGCTTGCTTTTGTAGGAAAACAGAAAACACAGAAGTTCTCAGCACCAAAATTTTTGTCCCGTGTGACAGATGGACTTGATAAGGAAACCAGTCGGATGTCTCAGAAAGAAACCAGTCATCTATCTCATAAAGAGATTGAGATAGAGGAGTCAGAATATAACTTTACAGCAACAGTGGACCAAGATGTAACTAAGATGGAAAATCTCATGGACCATTGGTGTTTAGACCTGAAAAGAAATGTCATGGTAACAACACGTTACATATTAGGCTTTTATAAAATTGCATTTTGATTATTATTTCATTTCAAACTGCACATCTAAACGGATAGCGTTATAAAGTATTGTCAAAGTAATATTATTAAATGGTTATTAACCTCGTTTGAAATATACATCTGCTTGTAGGTGTTATACCTCTTATATTCCTACCAATAATAATAATAAATTCTTTATTTAAAGCGGGTAAACACAGTTAGTTACAATTACTAATCTTCCCTGAGGCCCTCATATACAATACATGTAAAAAATAATAATAAGAGAAAAAAAGCAAACATACAACATATTAACACAATCGTATAGACATGATAGTTCAATGTACATGTACCATAATTAGAACATATAAAACAGTTACAGATTGCATGTAGTGAATAGATATTATATACAAATCAAAATCATACATTCTAAAAAAAGAGTAATAGTTCCAATCATTTCAAGACTGAATATTGGGACTGTCTCAAGTATTGTTTTATAATTTGTTTAAACGATAAAGTGTTTTGCACTTTACGCATTTCATATAGTAGTCCGTTCCATAAAACTGATCCAGAATAAGCAAAAGATTTTTTAAACAGTTCAGTTTTTGGCTAAGGAACTATCAAATTACCTTGAGTGACACCCCTTAAAGCATAAGGATTATTAACAGATATAAGTTGAAACTTTTGAAGTAGGTACTGTGGTGCTTCTTTCCGCATACATTTATGTAGCAGTAAATATTTGTGGTATTTGATTCTGTTTTCAACTGTCATCCATCCAAGTTCTTTAAATAAGGGGGATGAAGGGTCTGCATCAAGAATTAATCTTGCTGCTCTTTTTTGAAGTTTTAATATTCTTGCCATCCCTTCATTTTTACATTCTCCCCAAACAATACAGCAGTAATCGATGAGCGGCAGAATATACCCATTATAGTATGCTTTCCTGGCATTAATATCTAAAAATTTCTTTAATTTAGAAAAAAGATGATGAAATGCTAGCACAAATTTGATCAATTTGATTTGTCCAGCTAAGTGTGCTGTCAATTTTAACACCTAATAATTTTTCACATGATGAATTTTGTAGTGTTTCTGAATTTATTAGTAAATTTGGTTGAAAAGATTGAGTTGATAACTTCTGACTTGTTCCAGTAACCAAACATTTTGTTGTAAATTTTCTATGCTTTTCCCAGATTTATGGAGAGTAGTATCATCAGCATACAAGTCTGTTTTACAATTTTTAATGCAAAGGGGAAGGTCATTTATAAATAAGACAAATAATAGAGGACCTAGTATAGATCCTTGGGGGACACCAAATTTCACATCTTTTTTATCAGAATTAACATTGCAAATGTTTACTTGCTGTGTTCTATTACTTAGGTATGACCTGAAAAAACCTACTGCAAACTCACTGAATCCGTAAATAGCAAGCTTTAAGCAAAGAATGTCATGATCTACAAGATCAATTGCTTTTTTTTTTTTACCAAAGGACTTATTATATTGGTTATAAACTATAATGGAGGTTGTCAACATTTGTGTAAAAGAAAACTTTGGCAAACTGCATTTTCTAGAAAATGTCCTTGCTAATTTTTATACGCCTGTCAAAATTTTGACGGGACGTATTATGGTATACAAATGTCGTCTGTCTGTCCGGCGTAAACATGTCGCACCGTAACTTGAGAATGACTTATCCAAATTTAATGAAACTTAACATAGTTGTTTTTTTATGATGGTCAAACGATCTGTATACTTTTTGGTGAAAATAAGATTAAAACTTTTTGAGTTACAGGACTTAGTAACTAAAACAGGTGTGTGTTTTTTTTTTTCACATGTCGCGCTGTATCTCAAAAAAAATTTATGATTATTGCTTAAAATTTTACACACTTCTTAGTTATATTAATCTTAAGATTTGTATACTTTTTGGTGATGATTCAAAATTTTATTTTTGAGTTATTGAGTATTTTGTAAAAAAAGGGGGAGGGGTTTTTCACATGTCTCGCCATATCTCATAAACGAATAATGATTATAGCTCAAAATTTTACACACTTCTTAGTTATATTAATCTAAAGCTCTGTATACTTTTTGGTTTTGATTCAAAATTTTCTTTTAGAGATATTGATTTTTTTTTTTAAAAAAGGGTGGTTTTCACATGTCGCGCAGTATCTCAAAAACGATGTATGATTATTGCTTAAAATTTTACACACTTCTTAGTTATACTAATCTCAAGATCTGTATACTTTTTGGTTTTGATTCAAAATTTTATTTTAGAGATATTGAGTTTTTTGTAATGTCGCGCCGTATGTCAGAAACTATTTATGATTATTGCATAAAAATTCACACACAAGACGACGGGCGTATCATGCGCTCATGGCGCAGCTGTCTATTTTTTATTTTCTGCTTGATCAACGGGCACATTGTAAAGTTTTTTTATACCTGAAAAATTAATTTGTCCATTTGTTATTAAAAAGAACAAATGTTCGAATTGCTGATAAAACCAAAATTCTGAGAAATCAGAACCTGAGAAAAATAATTTGTACTACAAAGTGTATCCTATCGAGGTGATTGGTCAAACTTTTTTGCTGATAGAATAAAATAATATGGTGCTAGGATATTTTAGTTATGTATTACAATGGTATGTTCATCAAATTGTTTGATCTTTAAATATATAGGCAGAATTCAGTCAATCCAAAATCAGAATTGTGGAACATGGAAGACAACAGCTAGTCAGAGAACAAGAAAAGTAGGTTTGATATGAAGATCAATTGTAGTATCAGTTCTTTAATTTACTTCCTGGATTAAACAGTAAGATTTATCTACCATGTGGCTCCATTTTATTTGAAGTGATGACGAAATAGGACAAACCTTCAAAAATTTGACTGTGAATAAAATAGAAGTAAGGAATGTGTCAATGAGACAGTGACCCAACAACTAACAAAGAAATTTAACAGTCTTCAACAATAGACAGTGCCTTTAAAATATGTCAAAGATAACCCTTGCACATATTAATCAATTTTTAGACCATTTTCATATGATTATTATAAAGATAATTTAAAGGACCCTCAATGTAGTCTGACATGAAAACGAATTTTACCTCTACTCCTAAAATGGTCTTATAATTGATTAATTGGTGTTTGACGCCACTTTCAGCACTATTTTGCTATTTCATGGCAGTCAGTTTTTATTGGTGGAGGGAGCCAGAGTGCCTGGAGAAAACCACCGACCTTTGGTAGGAAAACTGATAATCCTGGTCAATTAAGATAGAAGTCGAGTGTACCTGCCACACGAAGCATTAGAACTCACAACCTCAGTGTTGACAGGCTATAGTGAGACAGCAGTTCGACTACTTAGACTACTCGGGAACCAAGGCCCCCAAAATGGCTTAGGAGTAGTTGAAACAAATTTTTACTTTATCCCCAATGTATTGAATTTGAATTGTTTATTTGTATTTTAAAATTGTTTTTACCATGCATGTTTTAAGCAAATCTTCAAATAATCTCAACCCATAAGATTTTATTTGGACTTCTTTCATATATATCTCTAAACCATTATCTCTAGAAAGGTCTTTTGATATTTTAGCAAAAAAGAATTTCTATTATCCTGTGTAACACAAGATTTAATGTTCACATGCATTTCTCAGAAATAAAGTGATTATATTTCAGTCCTTTTCACACATACGTTGATTTTGACTTGATTCACTATTCAGAGTACTATATATAAGGATAACAAAAATACCAAACTCTAAGGTAAATTAAAAAAAGAGGGAAGTCCATAAAAACTGTCAAAATCAAACATTAGACTTTATCAACCAAAGGAACAAATGGAAAAATGTCATATTTCAGGCGTTTTCCAACGAAAATGTTGGATTAAACCTGGTTTAAATGCTAGCTAAACCTACCACTATATTATTGTTAGTATTAAAGCTAATTTGAAGACATTCATCAATTATTTATGTATCTCTAAATCATGTTTGATATTTTAACCAGACATGCCGCAGAAAAGAATCAAATTCTGAATGAAATGGAGAGTCTGAAGGAACTATTACACACCTATGAACAGTCACTGGAGCGTAAAGATCAGGTCATATCAAACCTGACACATGCCATGCAGAAACAGAGAGAAAAGATTGAAATGCTGAAAAAATTTAATGAATGGAAAGTTAAACACATAGACAGGAAAAGGGAGGTAAGAAAGTTACATATAAATAGGAAAAGGGAGGTAAGAAAGTTACATACAATAGGAAAAGGGAGGTAAGAGTGTCACATACAATAAGAAAAGGGAGATAAGAGTGTCACATACAATCTGAATGTACTTTGGTTATAAGTAGTTTTTGCAAATACAGTTGTCTCTTGTTATTTCGAATTCAGTCTGACGAGAAATATTTTTAGATATATTACCAAAATTTTAACAGACAAAGGGACACAACTCTTGCTTAGCTTGGTAAGGCTAAAATAAATATATATATATATGGGTCGGGTCGATATTCTGGTCTTAGATTTATGTATCTGTATGGTATTGTACTTTATAGTTATAATAAAATTATGCTGGTTTTTTTTCTCTTTGTTATTTCTTTGTACAGTAACAAATTTTCCGATAGTTTTCTGCGAGAGAATAATTTTTTACATTGATTCAAACATTGTTCTCCCCAGATATTTCATTAAGCATCCTGGACAAATTGAAATACCATCTTGTTTCTAAAAATTAAAGCATCACATCCATTTATAACATAATCTTTAAGAAAATCAATTCAGATAGCATCACATTCAAGAAATCTAGCATCACATTACCATGATGCTAAAAGGCCCTGGGGAGAACACTGATTCAAAGGCATGTTGAAAGAAAACAAATCTTATATAACACAAGTAAATAATTTCTCAGATTTTAGAAGATTTAGAATTCTTTTCATTTTCTTTTATTTCGATCTTTTCCTGCAAGAGAATAAAAGATTGAGTAGTTTTGAGTTATTCACTTTATGCACAACTGAGCTCATTAATGTATGATTACGGTTAATTGATTATAAAACTTTTGAAATATTTTTTCATTATCTATAACAATGTATCCCTTATTATTTATTATAGTGATAAAAAAAAATATTAGGTAAACACCCTTGGAATAAGAATTTCATAAATCAAAACAGTTGTCAATGTCCAGAAATTTAATTACAGGTGTATTGTCAGATAACCCCCGAGGTCATGTTTTGACATATATGTATTATTTGGACACAACAAATGCAATGCATATGCTTTTGTTAACCTTGGGACCGTAACTTTGGTTCAACACAACAGAAATTTCGACTCATCAGGAGTCGAAATACATATATTTGTATGGAACAAAGTTCGGGACCACAGGAAAATTTTGACTCACCCAAAATTTCGAGTCAAATGAGTTCGAGACTGTTGTTACTCCTGTAGTTCCAAAATTACCTGTAACTTTGTAATTACTCATCCAATCAAGAGCCTGTAGTTATTAATCATTTCAATAGTGTTCATTTAAGGTGGTACCAAACACCTTGACTAAAATTAATTTGGCTCGTTTAATTTTCATAAAATTTTAACAAAATATTTACTTTGACCCTTTGACAAAAATATAAAAATTTCAAAAAACTTGAACCACACACTTTATTGGAAAAATTTCATTGGATATATAGCAGTTTGACAAACACTACTTTTGATCATTGAGAAGCTTAATATTTCCTTAACAATAGAATGTGATTAAAACGTTCAGCTGATTTTTAAAGAGTTATCTCCCTGTAGTGTTATGTACCACCTTAAGAATTTAACTATGGTTCTTTCAAAAAAATGTTATGATTTACATGCACACAACACCTAGGCCTGCTACTGACTGACCTTTGTCTGGTACATGCACACAACAACTAGGCCTGTTACTGACTGACCTTTGTCTGGTACGTGCCCACAACACCTATGCACACAACACCTAGGCCTGTTACTGACTGACCTTTGTCTGGTACATGCACACAACACCTAGGCCTGTTACTGACTGACCTTTGTCTGGTACGTGCCCACAACACCTAGGCCTGTTACTGACTGACCTTTGTCTGATACATGCACACAACACCTAGGCCTGTTACTGACCGACCTTTGTCTCGTACATGCCCACAACACCTAGGCCTGTTACGGACTGACCTTTGTGTGGTACATGCACACAACACCTAGGCCTGTTACTGACTGACCTTTGTGTGATACATGCACACAACACCTAGGCCTGTTACTGACTGACCTTTGTCTGATACATGCACACAACACCTAGGCCTGTTACTGACTGACCTTTGTCTGGTACATGCACACAACACCTAGGCCTGTTACTGACTGACCTTTGTCTCGTACATGCCCACAACACCTAGGCCTGTTACGGACTGACCTTTGTCTCTTACATGCCCACAACACCTAGGCCTGTTACGGACTGACCTTTGTGTGATACATGCACACAACACCTAGGCCTGTTACTGACTGACCTTTGTCTGATACATGCACACAACACCTAGGCCTGTTACTGACTGACCTTTGTCTGGTACATGCACACAACACCTAGGCCTGTTACTGACTGACCTTTGTCTGATACATGCACACAACACCTAGGCCTGTTACTGACTGACCTTTGTCTGATACATGCACACAACACCTAGGCCTGTTACTGACTGACCTTTGTCTGGTACATGCACACAACACCTAGCACTACAAAAGTCTAAAAGTCTGAAAAGACCAGTTTTTGTCTTAATTTGCATGAACTTTTACTCGACATTCTCCAAAAGTATGACTTGTGTCTTAATTTTTCTTGACAAATTCTCATTTATATTAAATTTGTATGAAATTTACTCGACATATTCTCGACATTCTGAATATGGTCTTAAAATTTCTTGACAAATTCTTGACATTTGAATACTGTCTTGAAATTTCTCGACATATTCTCGACATTCTTATTTTTTCTCAGTATGGCTTGACATATTCTGAACATTTTGAATCGTGTCTTAAATTTACTTGACAGTTCTGAGTTTTACAAATCATGACCAATATTCATGATATAACTTTAATCTTTATTTCTCTTTATATGATATACTGTTGTTTCAAGTTACACTTCTTTACAACAAAAATAAAAGTTGGGCATGTAAAATAATTGAAAATTTGGGTATATAAATATTTGTACAAATGCAAATATGGCTATGAAATCTAAAGTATAAAATAATTCAAATGTGGGTGTGTTGATATAAAACAATTTCAATGTGGGTTTTTAAATAATTACAAATTTTGATTCCTAAATCTTATAAATTAAATGATTCAAACCAATCATACTGTAGACATATTTCATTCTACATTCATAATATTCAATGTTGATATGGTAAATAATTATTACACCAAAATGTGGTTTATATAAATAGCAAATTATGATGATATACAAATCATTCATTTAACAGAAGAAAAATTTGTGTAATGTCATCTGTTGGAATATATTAAGTATTACACATGGACAGGATGTTCCCCATAAAATTAAGGTATTCCACACCCCAGAGTACACGCAACTGTCAAATAGAAGTTATTGCTTTACCTGTAATCAGCCATACAACTTATCAGTTGACCGACCATGCCACTACAATTTAAAAAGTTTGTTGATAGATGAAAATGAAAATCATCATTTTGATGAAAAAAAATTGAATTGAAATGGATTTTCTTCATCAAAATTATGAAGTTAATTATTTTAACATAAAAACAAATTGAATAATTCCCAAAGGTTAAAAGAAAATTATTATCTACTCCAGGAATAATAAAAAAAATGTATTTATAATGGGTCCCATCAATGATTTCTATAGAAATCATTGGTCTTATGAAATGGTTCTCAAACAGACATGCATAATATAGATCTAAACATTTTTTCTTTTCAGGAAGGAGTTATCACAAATATTTATTTTTGATAAAAAATTATAAAATTCAACACTCAAATTTGAATAAAAAATGTTTTTGGGTTGTTCTAAAAAATGAATAAGGTTTTTGAATCAAGATGGGAACAAATTCTTTGATCTAAACGAAAGCTAGAACACAACACCTATGCCTGTTGCTGACTGACCTTTGTCTGGTACATGCAAGACAAAATCTTTGAAAGCCAAAAATATTAAACCTTGGGCAAACATAAATACCAAAAGTGCATTTAGTGACAGTTAAATCCATCTGAGGTCAACTTTGCCTGAGAAAGTAACAACCTCAATTTTATCTTATGAAAATAAGCAGACAAACTGACACTTCACAAATGGTATAGTGTGTCACAGACGGACGGATGGAGCAGACTTTCAATGCTCTTTTACAATGTGATAAAAAAAATCAACTATTAGAATAAATAAATTATTTAATAAACAAAAGAAAATCAATTAGAAATAAAACAACAACTTATTACAAATGATTTAAAGTCCAAAACAAATGTCCAAAATAACTGCTGAGATTTTCGTCCGTTCAAATTACTTTCCTTTATATCATAGATGTCAGTCCGGTAGAACGAAAATCTGTAATGTGCATGACAGTTTCACACTATAATTGTAGATATGTTGTTCATGTTGTTATGACTGTAGGACCCACTCCTTAACACCGCAACATTGTAATACTCAGGTGCAGGCTAGAACCTAATAATAATATAATTGTACAAATCCTTTAATACCATTGTCAATTAGGTATGCATTTTACACTCACGTTAATGTAACACAAAAATGAACTGTATTTCACGTTCATATAATGAACACTTGTATTCTATCAATTTACGAAAATAAATATGCGCATACATTTTATATGTAGCAATTGTGTCATATACTTAAATAAATATCACAGTTTGTATAATAGTTTCACATACATAAGGAAATTCGGTACCTTGTACACATAAATATCACCTACATTCAATTGTACCCAGAATTAATAAGCTTGTTCTTATTCGCTAGGAAAAATGCAAATATCTGAATATAACAGGGGCGTTTCTAGGATATTTGAAAGAGGGGGCGTAGAATCAAATCTTTTGCCGAGCGGAGCTAAAAAACATAAAATAATTGTGAAATGCACTAATGTAACAATATTAGCAGATTACGATAGTTTTTTTTTTTTTTGAAAAGGGGGGGCATACGCCCATTACGCCCTCACCTGGACCCGCCCCTGTATAAAACAATGTTTTCATATCATTAAATCTGTTTACAAAGCATTCTAAATTATACAATTTACATTATGGAAATTTGTCAGCAGAAGTCTGAAAGTTTCAGAAATTCGATAAAAAGAATCAGAAAAAGTGTAAATAAATGTAAGAACAAAACACTAACCTCAGAATTGATGCACTATGTACAAAAAAAACAGCAGAACCACTGTAGGTTAGATTTAATTATCAGAATATAAATTATCTGATGGGTGTGGCATCCTTCCACACCAAAACCTCGAGCAGAAATTAATCTACCTGAATAGGTGTGTAAACCTGTCCAAAGAACTCGACTGACCACTATTTAAAAATAGCGAACAGGTATATAATAAGGCTATGCCTAATCAGTGTGCATTTTAACACAGGTGAACCTAACTTAGGCCAAACGTGAATATATGTATAAAAGCGTATGGTAAAACTATGTATAATAGAAACTATGAAAAAAGGCGTCTCGCACAAAGACCGCAAGTGCAATTCTTTTTATTCTTGATGACAATTTCACAAACTATATTATTTGTATACATGTCTGACTGAACAAATATCTGTATAAATATCTATAAACATGATAAAATTCATCTGGATCGCGACATAGTGAATAATGTCTTATTTAAATTTTTTTCAATGCTATAAGGATATGCTGATAAAAAATTATTGAAACACTCATCATTTAGTGTTATTAGGTCCTAACATCAAGGAGCAGGAATCCTATAGTTTTCAGTGGTTGTACATAATATGTAGATGTTCATATTTTTTTCGAATTTCTGGTTACCGGTAAACTAAGTTTATGTAAAAACAAATTGCAAATTTTGAGAATCATCATTATATGGTACGATACAATGAAAATGCATATGCTATTTCAGATTGATTCGTGGTGTCAAATTTGCAGTAAAAACCAAGTTTTTGTTAAAAAATCTTAATTTTTGGGAAAAAACATCTTTTTGTGCTAGGGTTTCAATGAGAATATGTATTTAGGTTATATATGCTACTCTCAATTGGTTCCCCTTGTCAAAAATTATTCATCAGCCACCATTTTTAAATGGCTACCAAAATACACAAAATAATTCTTAGTTCTTTGATTTTAACAAAAATAATTTACATATAGTGTGAATTACTTCCTGGTTTCAAAAATTACAAAAAGATGAAATTTTTTGATTTGTTTGCATCGGTATTAATTATGATTGATGAGTGTGCCTCACTCAAAAATGTGCACGAGGGCCCTTCCTGTCAAGCTGATTTCTATTTTTATTTTGGTTCTTGTATAAATCTGATATTTTTCTCATTGAATTCTATAAGAAAACTTGTTTCAGATTTTTGCTGGTAAACTAGCAGAAAAACATTATGAGAGAAAACTGTCGCAGAAAATATGGGATTCTTGGCATTCAGTGATTGTTGATAAGTGGCGCCAGCGAGTGGAGAAAGCCTGTCAAGCCAAGGCACAGGAAGTCTGCATCAACCTGACAAATGAATATGAGACTAAAGTCAAATCTGTATGTTAACTTTAATTATTGTTTTCTAAAACAGACATTTTAAGGAGATACTGTTATATGCTTTCCCAAAAGCATATGTTTTGAATGTACATGATTGCACAGGTGTATATTTCAACAAAGACAATGGTTTCTTTAATGTTTTGCATTTATTTGGGGTTTTGATGTCAGAGCTAACAGAAATGACCATCTGATTTATAGAAATGGAAACTTTGAATAAAACAAAACCAATTGTTGTGCAAAAAAGTTAAAATTACTCATGAACAATGAGCCTCAGATTTGATTTTCTCTTGTTCTAAACAATAATAAAATGACAGTAAATTGGCTGTTTGACTAAAATGGAAGCATTAAAGTTACACAAGTGATAAAGAGATGTTAATAATTACTCTAAATTCAATAACTATTGTGTGCATTTTTATTGTGATATTTGAAGAGTGGTCAAAAATGCAAGATTGATTATTGGGATTTCAGAAAAATTTGCATACAGATATATGTATCAGATATTAGGATACGATTTGTTTTTTATTGCAATACCTACCTAGTCGCATTATTTGCATTAATAAAGACCTCACAATAATTTATGAATTTACAGTTTCAAGTAAAGTATACTTAAAATACATGATTTGAAGAGACTGACATGGTCAATGTCTTACTTTTGGTTCCAAAATGAATACTCCATAAAGTGCATTAATGTTCTAAATATTTAGACATTCAAATTTCCCAACTCGCACAAAAAAAGCCTTTCTAGGACCTTCATCTTTGACTTTTTAGTAAAATATGGTATATTATGACCAATGGGAGGTAACTCTAACTTCTTAAAATTCTCGAAATCTTACTTGTTGGTTTTTTTAAAATCACCCTTCAATGAAGTATTCAGTTTTGCAGGAAGCTAAGCATACATCAGATAGGAATCAAATTACAGTAAGTTCAAAATAAATTGATGCACACAAATGTATTTATAGCAAGTCTTAATAAAGGGTATAAATTTCTTTGAGAAGGAAGTCAAACAGCCTGTACTAAAAGGAGAGCCAAGGTTTTACCTCAGAACTTTAAAGACTTGAAAGATTTAAAAAAAAGTCTTTTTCCCAGAATTCAATAGAACAATGTGCATGTTCATTTGTAAAACAGATGGTATTTTGTGACCAAAAGTTTGCAAAAGTTCATTAAATTGTATTTTTTATCTGATTATTTTGTTTCTGATGACTAAATTTCTAGGCATTTCATTATGATTGTGATTTCATTAGTATTCTATTTATTATTGAAGTTGACAGAAGCATTAGAGGAAGCCAGGACTGAAGTGTCAAAGTTACACAAGGAAAGGGATCGTTATGAAGAAACCATGAAAAAAGCATTCATGAGAGGAGTTTGTGCCCTCAACCTTGAAGCTATGACCATGTTTCAACCTCAAGATGACCAGAAACCAGAACAAGGTATGTTTACAATATGTAACTTTCCATCACTTGAATTTTGAAACATGCACCTATTTCAAGTTTGTCCACAAATGAAAGAAATTATATGTTTTCCCTTGATTATTGAGCATAAAAATAACATAATTGAAAAAAATTCCGGTAGAAAGGCTTGTATAGTTCGCACTGGTACATAGTCCGCACCCCCTTCTCCCCACGAAATTTTAGGTAAAAAAACTTTTTGTAACTGTTAGAAAAGGTCTAATGAAACTCTGGTAATTTCAAATCCTGTGCGGTCGTTTGCGGTATTTTCTTGGAAAAACCTGTTTTCCATCATCAAACAGAAGCTGAAACTGCTTCTAGAACGCTTCATGATTGTTAAAATAAGTTTAATTCACTTAAAAAACAATTTAGAAACTTGTGTATGTTTAAACAGGAAGTTTATAAAGCACGTGTAAAAGAACAAATTAACCGGTAAGAGTCTAAATCCGTACATAACAGATATCACTATAATACGACTTTGAAAGTAAAACAGTTCCATCCTTTTGTAAAACAGTCTTTAATATATCTATCACATTAATGTTTGAAGGGTCTTAAGCTAATACAAACCATATAAGTCAGTATGAAACACCAAAAGGGAACGAACAATAACCGATTACGTTTTGTAGTTTACAAATTCTAAGCTGGTTTACGGTTGTCTTTTTCACTATGTTTGTATCGTTTCAATCAAGCAGATACCAGTTTATTTCAACCAATGCATTGAAAAGAAACGAGAAATTTGTAATGAAAGGTTTAGTTTTTATATTTATCAGTATTAATTTGATATTGAATAGAAATATCTTATTAATATGGATGAGTTAAAATTATTAGTTTGAAAAATGATAAGAGCGCCCTCTACAATATCAATAACAAAGATGGCGGAACGTAAACAAACCACCTCGCCCGCGAAATTGAATTTTTTCTCTTAATTCTTGCTTATTGTACTCTATAGTCCGCACCCCTTCTGGAAGGTCCAATTTTGGAGAATAAAACCGTGGACTATACAAGCCTTTCTACGGTATGTATGGTGTATCAGTTCATGACATCGGTTTCCTACACACACTTAATATATCACAAACTAGAACAGTCATAAATTTATTTTGCTTTGGTTGATTGATGACTATTTTGTGGTACCCAATTTTTATTAGTGCAAGAAGCCCATGTTTTTTTTTCTTTGGGTTCTATAAATACCTGTGGCTCTTTTCACAAAAAATCTTGAAGAGTCAAAATACTCATAAGTCATACACATTTCAGTATAACTTGTGAACAATTTTAATCGTAAGATTTTTTGTGAAAAGAGTCACAGATTCCTTCCTTTCCATTTCCACACATGAACATAAACACAAACAACATGACATACACATCATGACATAAACAACATGACATAAACATCATGACATAAACAAAATAAAATAGATAGCCTAAACAATGTGACATAAACATCATTACATAAACAAAATAAAATAGATAGCCTAAACAACATGACATAATTTATCTTAATTGACCTTACTTCAATAAACATAACATAAACAACAACAAACTTAAACATAATTCAAATTTTAAAATGCATTATAATAGCAGTTTTCACGTTGAACCAGAGGCCCACCAGCCCAGGCTTGTAAAACTGATTTCTGACCTGTAAAAATAAGTTTTACAGGCCAATAGATTCTAATTGAAATTATAGTAAAGTTGAGCTTCGGGCCTGTGGGTTCAAAAGTTTATCATGAAGACTGTAATAGGACCTTCATATTTGCATATAACACTATATTAGCTTGTACATAATTGAAAGAAATCTATTAACTTACCGGTTAATAAATTTCAGCGTACCTACCATAGTAAGGACATTGTCAATTATTTCAGGTCAAGGAGGTCACATGTCTTCTGATTTCTCAGACAATCTTAACAGTAGTATACCAGAGAAAGATTATAGTGCTCCAAAAACAATCCCACAGGAACCAATATACACAACAGATCCCAGGAATGACCTGGTACCACCAAAAATAATCACCAGTCAGGGAGCCAGACCTTCATCAGCTACTAGTGTCAGATCTAAAGCATCAGTGAGTATATCATAGAGGAGAGAAACATTAGGCAACATGTAGGGCTGTTCCTTTTAAACATGTATGGTACAGTGACCTACAGTACAGCCTGGGACATAGTCTGATAAATCATCAACATCCTCTTTGTCTGACATAAGGATGTCAGAAATTTATTAGGGGTCATAAACCAAAGACCACTAGCGAAGTTAAATATTACCATCTGCTGGTGTATATGTATAATCACTCTTAATTTCATCATTTGAACTAAGGTGGATAGTGACAAGTCTCATTAACAATCGTATCACATCTCCTTATTTTTATATGGTACCCAGGAAAGGCAATTTCAAAATGTTACCACCTGTAGAGGCAAATTAAAAACAAAAATCTTTTCACTGTACACATTGTTTTTAACACACCTGGGGTACCCATAGTTGAGATTTAAAAAAAAACAAAACAACAACAACAAAATATTTTCTTTGTTTAGAAGAAATTTCTCAGTGGAAGTTAGTCCACATACAATGCTGACTTATGATCTTGGCTTTTCCATAGTCTTAACTGTAAATGTTTGGTTGAGAAAATGCATCATGTGCATGGAATCATCAGACCAACAAAATTGCTGAACTTGATTATATGTTAAATGTTGTTTAATTAATCTATAGACAGTATTGCATGTTTTATGGACCCTACTATTTGCAATAATGATTTCTACTTTATCTAAAAATCACTTATCTTCTTATGCTTACTGTGCATTCATTTAATTTCGTGGATTGAGAAAAAAGTGACTATTGATTTTTGTCAAAGTTTGCATTTAAGTCTTTTTTTTTTTTTAATTTTCATTTTTTATTGAAATCTGTACATTTGTTAGTAATGAAAACATTGAAAACCGGTACCTTATCCCGGCCTCGTTAATGTTAGAAATAGAAAATGTAAATATATATCTGTTAGTATTTGTAAGTTCATTTTACAAAACATTATATCAGCTGTAGTTACTTAATATAATACCACATATTCAATTTGCATTTAAGTCTTAAGAAAATTTGTTATTCGTTAAACATTTAAATTCATGGTTTATCATTACCCACAAAATCCACGAAAATTGGTAATCCAAGAACAATGATGAATCCACAATGAATAGTAATTAAACATTTGTTTTATCTTCTAGGTATGCAGTAAGACTAGTACAACATCCTCCAGTAAAGGGAAAGTGTTGTCTACCAGAATTACAGCTAAGACTGACTCTGGCCGTACTACATCTAGTTTGGGCAGAAATCCTACCCTGGACCCTCCAATGAGTTCTGTTATTGTAGAAAGACACCCTCCAGTCAATAAGGTACATTTAAAGGTGAAGAAATAGGAAGGAACTATGTGCTAGAAGTTTCATGTGTTCATGGTAAAATCTCATTTAGTGAATTTGCATTTCTCATTGGCAAAAAGGCTTAAGCCATTTTTATGCCCCACCTAGGGGCATTAAGTTTTTCGGTCCGTCTGTCTGTTTGTCGGTCCATCTCGTTTTTCTGTCCATCAGTCCCACTTCAGGTTAAAGTTTTTGGTCAAGGTAGTTTTTGATGAAGTTGAAGTCCAATCAACTTGAAACTTAGTACACATGTTCCCTATGATATGATCTTTCTAATTTTAATGCCAAATTAGAGTTTTGACCCCAATTTCACGGTCTTCTGAACATAGAAAATGATAGTGCGAGTGGGGCATCTGTGTAATATGGACACATTCTTGTTATTAATACTTTCACCGTGTTCACCTTGGGTTTTTTTATGTTTTATTTTTATTTTCAAATATTCTTTAAAAAAACACATAGTGAATCTGAACAAAACAATAAAAACCATTCCCCCTCCCCCCGACTTTTAAGTTATTAACAATTAGAAAAATGTGTAGCTAGTTGTCTTTTAAAAGTAATGAGGCTGTTTTAAGTGCTATCCTGATATATATCCCTGTTAATTTTTTTTACAATAGATACTTTAACAAGTTTTTTTACAATAGATATTTTAACCATGATTGGCTATCTATTTTAGGAAACAATTGGACAGGCAACAGCAGGAAGACATCCCCGACAAACATCAACTATAGAAAACTATCCACAGACAGGAATCATTCATCGGCGGATTGCCGGACAATCTGGTTCAGTGACGATATCACCCAATATACAAACTGTTAAAGTTGTCGACTGATATGCATTCAGTTATAGCATTTATGTATATTTATGTTTTACGAACAAGACTGTTATGACGGTAAACAAGAAAATGAACACACTAGAAATAAACATCATTTCTCTTTATTTAAAGCTCAAAAACTTGGGTTTTTTTTTTGGAATTTAAGATTCAAGAAGAAATGGATAAATAATCAGCAAAGAAAAACTTTGGTTGTTTACATCTTTGTCATTTGGTCTTAAGTGGATAGTTATTGTATTGGCAATCATACCACATCTTCTTATTTTTAAACAAATATGAAGATTTTTACTTCATCACAAGAAGGTGATGGTTAGATTTTGACAAGATAATTTCCTTCCTTGCTGGAAATGTATGTATGTTTAGTTTCGAATCCACTCATTCTCAGTTTGTATTATCTTCAGCAGTGGTCAGTTTCACAAGACATCTTACGACTAAAGCTGATAATAAGTATACTATTGTTCATGACTTACGATCAACTTTAGTTGTAAGTTTTTTGTGAAACTGATTACTGGTAACAATAAATCTGTGTAGGTCGGTGTGGTCAAACTGTACAAATAAGCTTTTAAAACAATTTTATAGCTATAAAGAAAACGACTGTGATATTTATTTTATTTTATATATTGATTTTAATGTATTTGTGAAATTTCTCTAAATCATACGTAACTATAATCAGTGCTGATAATTTCATAATCTTGAATGTTTATTAATTGAAAGTACAATTAATAATCTGCTCCAAGTGATATGAAAAATTAAAAGATATAGGGTTGACATAGACAGCAAACCAACAATGACAATGTTGTACATCTGTCTTCAGAATTTCCAACTTGTATTTACACGTGTTCTCTTTCATTAAAGGTACGTATAGAGAGATTTCACTATATTTTATTAACAATTTCATTTTTAACATATTTTTGCAAATGTATGTCGTGTTAAAAGTTGTATCAACATTAAAACGCATTTTTAACATTTTATTAATTGTGTTTATGTTTAAAACAACTGGGAAGCATTGGTAAATTGTAGCAATATAGATTTTCTTGGATTACCTCACCCTAAAGGTTCATATGGCATATTGTCATTATTTGACATTCATAGGTTTTTATCTCACCTGCCCTAAAGGGCCTGTATTAGCTTTTAGCCTGTGGTGTCAGATGTCAAGCATTTTGTTTTTTCATAAATTTTCTCCTCTCAAACCAATCAGTAAATTGAATCTTAAGGGTTTACAGAACACTTTAAGGAGTTAACTCTTTAAAAATTAGCTCAACGTTTTAATCACATACTATTAGTAAAGAGAAATCAAGCTTCTCAACGATCAAAATTGGTGTTTGTCGAACTGCTATATATTCAATGAAATTATTCCTGTAAATTGTGTGGTACAAATTTTTTGAAATTTTTGTATTTTTGTCAACAGGTCAAATTAAATATTTTGTCAAAATTTTATGAAAATGAAACTAGCCAGATCTATTTTAGCCAAGGTGTGGAGTACCCCCTTAAGAAGGCTACAACTATCCTTAGGATGTAATGTTTTAAAATTATACCTGGTGGTTCCTACAACTATCCTTAAGATGTAATATTTCAAAATTATACCTGGTGGTTCTACAACTATCCTTAGGATGTAATGTTTTAAAATTATACCTGGTGGTTCCTACAACTATCCTTAAGATGTAATGTTTTAAAATTATACCTGGTGGTTCCTACAACTATCCTTAAGATGTAATGTTTCAAAATTATACCTGGTGGTTCCTACAACTATCCTTATGTGTAATGTTTTAAAATTATACCTGGTGGTTCCTACAACTATCCTTAAGATGTTATGTTTTAAAATTATACCTGGTGGTTCCTACAACTATCCTTAAGATGTAATATTTCAAAATTATACCTGGTGGTTCCTACAACTATCCTTAAGATGTAATGTTTTAAAATTATACCTGGTGGTTCCTACAACTATCCTTAAGATGTAATATTTCAAAATTATACCTGGTGGTTCCTACAACTATCCTTAAGATGTAATGTTTTAAAATTATACCTGGTGGTTCCTACAACTATCCTTAAGATGTAATGTTTTAAAATTATACCTGGTGGTTCCTACAACTATCCTTAAGATGTAATATTTTAAAATTATACCTGGTGGTTCCTACAACTATCCTTAAGATGTAATGTTTTAAAATTATACCTGGAGGTTCCTACAACTATCCTTAAGATGTAATGTTTTAAAATTATACCTGGTGGTTCCTACAACTATCCTTAGGATGTAAAGTTTTAAAATTATACCTGGTGGTTTCCTCTTCATTTTTATATGCTCGTCAATTTTTGACGGGACGTATTATGGTATACAAATGTCCGGTGTCCGTCCGTCCGTCTGTCTGTCTGGCGTAAACATGTCACACTGTAACTTGAGAATGACTTATCCAAATTTCATGAAACTTAACATAGTTGTTTCTTATGATGGTCAAACGATCTGTATACTTTTTGGTGAAAATAAGATTAAAACTTTTTGAGTTACGGGACTTAGTAACTAAAACAGGTGTGTGGTTTTTTTCACATGTCGCGCTGTATCTCAAAAACAATTTATGATTATTGCTTAAAACTTTACACACTTCGTAGTGATATTAATCTTAAGATCTGTATACTTTTTGGTGATGATTCAAAATTTTTATTTTAGAGATATTGAGTATTTTGTTAAAAAGGGGGAGGGGTTTTTCACATGTCGTGCCGTATCTCAAAAACAATTTATGATTATTGCTTAAAACTTTAAACACTTCTTAGTGATATTAATCTTAAGATCTGTATACTTTTTAATGATGATTCAAAATTTTATTTTAGAGATATTGAGTATTTTGTTAAAAAGGGGGAGGGTTTTTTCACATGTCGTGCCGTATCTCAAAAACAATTTACGATTATTGCTTAAAACTTTACACACTTCTTAGTTATATTAATCTTAAGATCTGTATACTTTTTGGTGATGATTCAAAATTTTATTTTTGAGTTATTGAGTATTTTGTAAAAAAAGGGGGAGGGGTTTTTCACATGTCGCGCTGTATCTCAAAAACGATTTATGATTATTGCTTATAATTTTACACACTTCTTAGTTATATTAATCTAAAGATCTGTATACTTTTTGGTTTTGATTCAAAATTTTATTTTTGAGATATTGATTTTTTTTTTTTAAAAAGGGGGGTTTTCACATGTCGCACCGTACCTCAAAAACGATTTATGATTATTGCTTAAAATTTTACACACTTCTTAGTTATATTAATTTAAAGATCTGTATACTTTTTGGTTTTGATTCAAAATTTTATTTTAGAGATATTGAGTTTTTTGTAAAAAAAAAAGGGGGTTTTCGCATGTCACGCCGTATGTCAGAAACAATTTATGCTTATTGCATAAAAATTCACACACAAGACGACGGGCGTATCATGCGCTCATGGCACAGCTGTTTTTGAAACAACAGACACCTGCCATTAGAATATAATATGTATAAAAAAATCCAGAAAAATCTTTTGAAGGTCATTAAGCTTCCAAAGTCTAGATTGGTGAATCCTGATAAGAATAATCACTAAAGACCCATGTTTCTATAATACCTGAGGCAGTGGCTATTTTGCTGGCTCTGTTTATAATATCTTTTAAAAAGCCAGCTTACTGGCATATTTCTATAGTAATGGCTATTTTGCCAATGCTGGCAAAATAATGAATTTGTTATTTTGCCGGTTCTTTGTACAGTTTAATATTTACTGTTGAAGTAGGAAAATGTGTATTGTCAACATAAAAGCATCAAATTATTAAATAGGACAAAATTGAAATTAAAAATATCTAAAAATTCTATTCAGGGCTAGATGCTAGCAAAATTTGGGTCAATTATACCTGAACGATGCTCTTTAGATATTGTGGTAGATAAAGCTGACCTCCATTATACAGTGCTGCTACTTTTGCTCAATTTTTTTTTAAATTTACAAAAAATAAGCAATAGAATAATTCTGAGAAAATTCAATCATAACCATGCTTTGGCTAAATGATACAATAATGGCATTGGTGACTTTTAATGATATTTAATTTGGTTGATGACCCCAACCACCATCCAATATGGCTGCCACCATTACTAAAAAAAGAAAAATCACAGAAAATTAACGGGAAAAAATCTGAAAAATCCTTTAAAGAACCAAGCTGATATGTTTCTTAACTTAGGAAGGTGATATTTTTATGATGGCTTTTTCAAATTATGATTTATTAGGACAAATGTTTTTAATTCAATCTTTCTAACAATCATTGATGACTAATGATTTATTGGTGATAAAAGCATATCAGGATGAAAATATATTATGATATGAATGTTAACCCTGCTTTGCATTAGACTGGCATGCTGATATGGATTTTTACGTGCTAGTTCACTGGTAAAAAGAGTGCAGGAAGACATATCACCCTATCAGGACACATTATTATGACAAAAGTGCTCTTGCTGTATACTGTCTAAATAAATGAATCTCAGTGCCTGAATAACTGGACCTCCGTGTAACTGAATATACAATAAAGAAGATGTGGTATGATTGCCATGGATCCAACTTTCCACCCGAGACCAAATGACATAGATGTTGGCAACAATAGGTTGGTCTCGGGTGGAAAGTTGGATCAATGGCAATCATACCACATCTTCTTTATGTTCCTTCCTTTGGGACTCTGAACAACTATGTAATATTTGGTGGAGTTCAACTGACCGTAAATATTAAACAGTAGTATCCTCTCACTGAAGTACGTATTCATTATTTTGTTTTTCGCGTGAATACTGAAATATAAACTCTTTCAATATTCATCATTCATTACTAATAGTTGAATAATTCAGTATTCATTATTGAATTTTGAAAAAAAATTGAATAATGTATGTACTTCAGCGCAGTTCAGTAAAGTGTACATATTCATGGATATTTAAGCTGATTCAGTGATTGGAAATTTTGGAGGAAAAAAATATTTAAAAAGATGACGCTTAAGACAGACTCTAATAGTATAACAACAAAGATTCAGATGTCATAATCTTGTATTTACTTTTGAATACAAGGAACCAAATGTACAATGTGTTGGTAAACAAAGGATATGGTGTATCAATGTTGTTTTACAGTCAAATCTGACCTGCGACATTTGGGGTTAGGGGTTAGAGGGTGACCTTACGACCTGACCCCTCATTTAAAAGGACCTTTGACCTTTAGAAATGTTCAAAACCGACAGATCAGTTTAGAACTGTATAATTGGCTTCAAAGATACCTGGTGACATGAGGCAATTTTAAACGCGACCTTAACAAGGGGAGGGGGGCTACCCTCTGTGGCAAGAAATCACTGCAAAGCACATGAAACTAATATAGGTTAAGTAACAACGATTTTATGGCTTTGTTTATTTTTAACCCTGTACTGACTTTGTTCCAGATTTCCAATGGCAAAATAATATCGACATGACATCTTACATTGCTAGTTAAGAGGTATATTATCCTTAGGGTTTTCACAGCACAATCCCGATTAACCCAATTAAATCAGAATTATCTTAGCTGAATTCAAATCCGAGAAAATCTGGCATTTTCTTAGAAATTGTAGATTGAGATTCAATATTTTATTATAGTCTCACCACATAGAAACAGAACTTCAAACAAGATACATATATATGTATATATAGCAAATTTTAAGGACAGTAACATTGACCATTAGTCTAATTACCGGTGCAGAAATGTTCAGAATGTTGAGCTCTACCAATTGTCCATATACGTCAAAACTGTCAGACGACTTCTTATAGGAGTTATTGCCCTTAAATAACAAATTTTACCATTTCTTTTCATTTTTGCCTCTTATCTTGGAAACTATAATAGATACAGAGAAACTTTAAACTGCAAAAATGATAAGCAAGACAAGTTCTACAAATAGGTCTAACATGGTAGAAATCATCAGTCGACTGCTCATTATTGGCCTATGATGATGATTTTTACCATTTTTTTTTGCGTTTTTGCCTTATATTTTAAAATTATAATAGATAGATGCAAACTTTAATAAGAAAAATGATTAGCAAGACAAAATCTACAACTAAAACATATGGAGGAAATCCTCCGACAACTAACTCCTTATTGGATTTATTGTTCTTTAATGACGATTTTTACGAATTTTTTTTGCGTTTTACCTTATATATGATAAAAATTATAATAGATAAAAAGACACTTTAAATCACAAAAATGATCAACAAGGCAAGATCTACTGACAAGTCAAGTTTTGCCAATATAGTTAGTAGACTGTCACACTTTATAGGAGTGATTGCCCTTAAATGAGGATTTTTTGTACCCTCTTTTGTGTTTTGTTGAGAGAAACTAAACAGACTAAATGATCAGCAATACAAAATCAACAAAACAGAGATTTTTGTCATGAATTCTATTCTCGTCTACAATGTTGGAGAGTGTCCTTTGTTGAATATGCACAAGAACCAAGGTGAGCGACACATGCTCTTTAGAGCCTCTAGTTCTATTCTCTACTTTTTGTTTTTGTCCATTTTTATCTATTCTTTATTTTTTTTGCTCATTATTTTTAATCCATTATTATATTTCCTTTATATTTTGTCACTACATTATTCTCTATCTTAATTTTTGTTTTAGTTCATTTTCTCTATTCTATATTTTTTTGTTTTAGTCCATTAATCTATTCTTTAATTTTTGTTTTTGTCCATTTTCTCTATTCTTTTATTTTTACCTATTATTATATTTTCTTTATATTTTGGCACTACATTATTCCAGAGACATATATACACATGTATATATGTCTCTGATTATTCTCTATTCTTAATTTTTGTTTAGTCCATTTTCTCTATTCTATATTTTTGGTTTTGTCCATTTTCTCTATTCTTTTCTATTTGCCTTTTATCACATTTTCGTTATATTTTGGAATCCCATTTTTCTCTATTCTTTATTTTTGCTTTAGTCCATTTTCTCTGTTCTTTTTATGCCCCGCCGTAAGTGTTACCCATGTCCGTCCGTCTGTCCGTCCCGAACTTCCCCAAAAATTGGTTTCCGTTTTCTAACTTTAGTTTGCCTCAACCAAATATTATGAAACTTATACACAATGCTTATTACTACAAAAAACAGATCAAGTTCGAAATTGGGTGGTGTCACTTTTACCGTTCCTGAGTTATTCCCCTTTATAAATGGAAAAATTGCTAAATCGATCGTTTCCGTTCTTTAACTTTAGTTTGCCTTAACCAAATGTTATGAAACTTATATACACAATGCTTATTACCAAAAAACAAAATACCAATAATTCACAAAAGCATAGATGACAGAGGTGAAGGACGACACATTTAAAGTGCCACTTACAAACGGTAGGTCATTAATTTCATATCTTTACATAATCTTATGGAAGCCAAAGAAACAATTTGTATTTGTAATATGTTCACATTGAGAGGAACCATTCCATAATTAACCGACATGTTTTGTGTCGACACGTGTATCGTGAACATGTATGTGATTGTTGTTTCAACTATGTAAAACCTCAGTGGCAAATATTTCATGGATATTCAGGACGAGAACAAAATACCAATGATTCACCAAAGCATAGATGACAGGGGTGAAGGACAGCACATTTAAAGTGCCACTTACAACAGGTCACGTGCCGATCTTTTAAAGAGTTGTTGAAATGGATTTTTAACTGAAGAGACCGTGTCGCTTTTGCTTCTCGAGCCATCTCATTGTGTTGTGCATTTCGCGGACCAGAATATATCTTGTGAATTGTTTAGACCAGAAATCTGTATTGTGAATTGTTCAGACCAGAAATCTGTATTGTGAATTGTTCAGACCAGAAATCTGTATTGTGAATTGTTCGGACCAGAATCTTTGTTGTGCATGTGCATTTACAATTTACCTTTTCATCCTATTCATAAGAGATTAGAAAAAAATGTGCAACTTTTGAAAGTCTATGTTAAAATATATAATTTTTCACATATGTTCTAGTCTCTGGTCGGTCTAGAGTCTGTCATGTTGTACATACGCATGTGTATGGTTAAAGACTATATGTCGATCTCTATTGTTTTTTGTTTTTTTTTTTTTTAATTTTTGTACCGATGGGTTGTTGTCACATGATCGAAAATCTCACATCGTTAAAATCAGTATTAAGTTTGGCTAAGCAAAAACATTTAGGAACGGGAAAACGTGAATATTACAGACCATTTTATCAAAAGTCATAAACGGGAATAAATATAATCAGATTTCCCATCAAATGACGTCACTATAATTTTGGCAACGTTAGCTATGGGTTAGACATTTTTTGGTAAACATCCGACGGGAGAATCATGTTATGAAATTCAGGATTATTATAGTAGTGCCACTCCTTTTTATAAATATAGCAGGTAAGTTCATTAAAGAGCATTTTATTTGCGGCTGACAGAATTTTCTATAAATTTACAATTTTTGCAACTGTCAACACGAGGGATACATTTATCTTAAAGACCAAACAGCCTATTCAGTTCTACCAGTGATTTTTCCTTAAAATTTTGTGTGAAGGTATTTCATGATTTGAGGAACAAAATATGATAAAAAAAATTGGGGGTCACCGACTTAGTTTTGTCACTATAGCAACCTCAGTTTCGTGTTTTCCCGAATATTAACATGATATTTGCTTGTTATTTGAACTCTCAAAAAATCCCATTATATCAAACCTACAAGCATAATTCTTGTTTCATGTTAAACAGTAGATTTTTGTCTATCAAATACAAGTTCAAGAGTTTAAGACTCTTATTGTTTTGATCTTAAAAAATATGATTTATTTCATTCCCGCCAAAAATAAAACGCAAGAATGAAAAACGTTTCAAGTATTAGAAAATATCTACCAGTGATTTTTTCATAAAAATTTCAAGAAGGAAAGTGCCATGTGTACTCTTCAAAATAAAGCAAAAAAATGTATATGTCACCGACCTTTCAAAAGAGTTATGATTAATTTTCATGTTTTTTTCTCGTTCGTTTTGAAGAAAAGAGTTGTCTTTCTTCAGAACATTGAATCTGACGTCATAGTACAAGTTTTCCTTGCTGGCGTACTGTTTGAAAAAAAAATGCGAATTGGACGTTTGAAACCCACATTTAAATTTTCAAGAATCAAGAATAACAACTATATTCACCTACTTTATTATGCGGTAATACAAGAGATCACATGTATGTATCAGTATCAGATCTCATGATGTTGTTGCCGCACAAAATTTTAACCTTCAGAAACACCATCCATCGGAATGAAAAATTGTTTGAAATAACCTTTCACGACGCTTTAGAAACGAAATAA